GGATTATAATATAAGTATTACACTTGCAGAGCAGCGAATAGATAATATGGATTGAATCGGTTCATCTAATTCCTCACAAGCCTACGCGCCTATATCTTTCATAAAGCGTTCGCTCCATTCCCGATTTTTCTTCCTCGCGCTCTCAGACACGGCCCCCATTCTCCCTTCGATCTAGGCTCATTTAGCCCATTCTTTCCGCGCTTACGGCGCCACACCCCTGCTTTCTTCATCGACCTCTTTTCTCTCATCTACCTTCCCGATACATGTTTCCGTCGCCTTGCCTTCCTCCACATACACATACACGCACACACACACACTCACGCGCACGCACGCACGCACGCACGCACGCACGCACGCACGCACGCACGCACGCACACACACACACACACACACACACACACACACACACATCACTCATTATTCTCGCCGACATCCATCTCTTCTCCGCTCTTCTATCCTTCTCCCACCTCCCCTCTGCCTCCCCCTCTCTCTCTTTCCATATTCCCTCTCATCCCGCTCACACGTAGCTCTCGCCCCTTCCATACAGCATAGTTCCGCGGCACCATGGGCAATCCTAATGACATGGAAACGCAATATAATGCCACTGCTTTATTTAGTGAATTAGTTGAAATTCTAGCAGAAGTGCAAAGCTCCGATGTCCCGCTGACCGGCAGGCGCAGGGGCGCACGCCACCGCGCTAACCGCCTCGTCACCATGGCGACGCCGGTTCGGCAGACTCCGGCACGGCACTCGTGCGTGCGTGCGGCGCGCGCTCCGCTCGACCCCGGTGTCAACGACTCCACGCGCGCACGCACGCAAGCACGCGCGCACGCCATGGCACGCCACGGCGCGCTCTGTCGCCGTCACCGACGACAACCCACCAGCCAGAACACCCAAGATTACGAAGCTGCATGCACGCAAGGCTGGGTGGCTGGGTGGGTTGTGGGGGAGTATGGTACATGCACACATGACTGGGTGGGTATGGGGGAATAGAGTGCATGCACGCAAGGCTTGGTGGCTGGGTGAGTGTGTAGAGAATAGGGTACATGTACGCATGGCTGGGGGCTGGGTGGGTATAGAGGAATAGGGCGCACGCAAGCATTGGTGGGAGTGTGCAAGGTGATAAGGTGCATACACGTATGGCCTGGTGGGTGTGTGGGATAGGATACATGTAAGCGTGGATGCGAGGACGGGTTAGTGAGGGGATAAATATTCTAACGCTGCATCAGCGGGGTAGCTGTTACCACTGCAGAGGAGACGTACACGGGCAGAGCGCAGTTATGATGGTGTTCCACTCATGCTACATGGTGGTTTTATCTATACAGTGCATTGCTGAGAATTCTTGATAGCGCGTAGGCATACAACGTCTATGTTGCTCCGGCGTTTACTACAACCGACTGACAAGCAGGCAAGACGTCGTTGTCGAAAGGTCACTTTATTGTGGCATGCTGTGATGCTTGGATGCTGGGATGATGTGATGCTGGGATGCTGAGATGTTGGGATGCTGGGATTCTGGGATGCTATGAAGCTAGCATGTTGGCATGTTTGGATGTTAGTATGGCGGGAGGCTATGCTGGTTAAAAGCAGCGAGAGTGGGTGAAAATACGCCTTGCTAAATGTCGTTCGGTGGCAAAAATCAGGGGCAGTGATTCCATACTTCGCCATGCTGAGTTCTCCTCTCGAGCATGTAAACTACGTGTACATAATCGTGTAAATACATCGACGTTGAATTCTAAAAAGAGCTGCGCTTACGTAACACTTAAGCAGTGTTCACATTTCACGAGCTTCTAAAATGCGAGATTTTCGCAAATCCGGCACGTGCCTGACTCCGAGGCTGCCGAATAAAAGAGGTTCAACCGCATTTTAAGTATTTCTTCTATACCTGCATATAGGGTACGGGTGCGTGCGGTATACGTCTAACAAGTACGTCGAGTGATTGACATTTTTTCTCACGAAAATTACCTGCAGCGTGTGCATTATGTGCATAAATGCCACCCGCAGTGAGCCCACAACCTCAAAAGTGCAGATTGGCTCGCCGGAGTTAAGGTTTATTACCGACGTCACCACGCGTTTAGTAATGCGTTTTACCATACGGAGCAACAAACTGTTCAAATTATTTCCTATTTTCTATTGCCAAATTGGAAAGAACCCTCTCAGAATCATAGCGACACACAGAGAGAAACACCTTATTTTTAAGGATATGCGTGGGAACGTTTAATTTTGCGTGGGCGCGCGGGGCAGGCTATATCTATAGGCGGCTATGGTGGAAATGTATCACGGGTATAAATGGCTTTTTCGCTACTAAAATAGTTTGTTAACCATTTACCTAAATGAAGGTTGACCATCCGCTGCCACTGTTGCCCGCCCCCGGAGCGACACTATTTTATCTCCTCCTTCTTCCTTCCTCCTACTCCTGCTGCTCCTTCTCCTACTATTGCTACTTTTCTCTGCCTTTTGCCTACCCATGCTTCTTCTCCACCACCTCCACATCTGCTCCATACCTTTCTTATACATACTACTCCTCCTCATTCCCCCACTCCTTTTTGTCATCCATTTCCTTTCCTCTTCATTTCCCTTTACTTCGCCCGTGTGCTTATTTCTCCCCTTTTATCTTTTCTCCCATTTCTTTTACATCTATTCCCCCTCCCCTATCTCCTCCTCGTCCGCCTCTTTATACACTTTCCGCTCTTCTCCTAGTCCTTGTCCTCCCATTATTGCTCCTCCACCCCCGCTCCTCCTCCTCCTCCTCCTCCTCCTGCTCTTCCTCCGCCTCCTACTTATACTCTTTCTCCGCCTCCTACTTATACTCTTTCTCCGCCACCTTCTCATTCTTACCCAATGAAGATTTTTTCGACAGAGCAGAGAACTGTACAGGCCAGCGGCTATTCCCCTCAATTCGCCGTGTTTCGGAGCCGCCGACGACCGACTCTAGGAATCTCTCTCACGTTCGTCAACTTCCGACTGAATGAAATGAATTTTTCATCGGCAAATAGAGGCAGAGGGAAAACAACGTAGAGAGAAGGTCGCGCGCATGTAGTTACGGGGGGGGGAGGCGTATCACCGGTGTACATCGCTGCACGTCGCGACGGAAACAAATGTCTCCCAGCGTCCACGTTTTGGTAGCATCGCACGCGGCGAAAAAAACCCGCCTAGCAAGGAGTTTTTGCTCGCGCCGTTTGCCCGCTTGCAGATCGCACGAGATAAGTTCACCCAAGAGACGACGCTCTCTGACAGGCATTGATTAATTAGACAGAAAAATGAATTATCAGAATGCAATTGAGTCGAACCCAGCTGAGCTTTTCGCTGGCTTCTCTCTCCCTTCCGTTTGCCCATATCCGCTGGCAGGGAGACTGCCGTCTATGACAGACGCAGGAGATCAGACCATGATCTATGGGAAAGCTAATCTGTGAAATAGAGTTTCTTGCCGTGTTCTCGACGCTCGTGCCGATGTTGTATTTTCCGTAGATGCGCGCGCGGATACGGGCCACGCGATTTGAACGCGGGGTGAAGCAGCGATAGACATCGGGGAGCGGGGCGGCCGTACGCGGGAGATCGCAGCACGTGATGGGCGCGTGTACGTAGCCCTACACCTCGAATCAATCTTCGCGCGCGGTCAGATTTCCTCCGACGATAAATCGACAGGAGTGAGAAGACAGCGCGGCCGTTTAATGCAACGTCGCTGGTGAGAGGTAGAACCTCGCTGGAGAGAGATGTTTCACGAGATAGCCGCACGACTGCTTGTAATTTATCATCTCGGACTTTGTCTACCGGTGGTGTTGCGGTCGTGAATTCGGGGGGGGGCGGAACCTGATGACCTTGGTGGAACATGGACACTACGTAAAATTGATTGACGTGATTTTAATTCTTGAATTATATCTAATTGTTTCTTATTAGAACGTAGCGATAAACTCATGTAAATATGCAAAGAAAACCCGCGATGACGTTTTGTGCTTACATTATCTTAAGCCCACATTATGTATATTTTGGTAAAATTACCTTGGAACTCGCGGAGATAATTTTCAGATGTGAATTTCGGAACACGCGCAATAAACGCGTATGTACGTACATACCCGTGAAGGCAATGTACACGACAAAGTAAA